CTGCTGCGAGGGGGCGCCGACCCCGACCACTTCGTCACTCACAACGTCGACATCCGAGATCTTGTGTTCAAAGCCGCAGAGAAAGGTTGGCCAGCAGTAAGTAAAAGGCACATTTCCTGAAAGTATATCAAAAATAAACTAAAAGGAGCAGCTAGATTTCTTGGAAAACGTTGTTACATAGAACTAGAAAAACCTTGGTTTCTATGGTTTTCTTTATATCGAATGCTTTTGAAAGAGGATACAGATCAATTTTATATCAACTACGTTGTTTAAGATTATTTTCCATGTAATTGGTTCAAATTTGATATACATAATATACAAATAAAATAACAATTTACAAAATACATAACATACAAAATATGTATATAACATGATTTTGTAATATCTTATTACGTTTTGTTGCTATCAGAAAACAGTGATTATCAAGTACATCAATTTGTTTGCAGTGAATGGGAACTTGATTACACCTATAGATCTTCAGTTCATATTAGGCTATAGACCTCCCAATTGGCCCCTTGATCATCATTGATCCCTTTCAAAATTTCATCGATCGCCAGTGGGCTGATATCGACCCCGTTTGGAACCGCTGGTGAACATAGTAACTGCTTGTAAATAGATATTTTCCCCTTCCCGGCAGCAAGCTTCGACCGCATCACAAACGTGTCTCCCGTGCCAGCACGAAAGGGTGTAAGGTAGGATCAGTCTTCAAGTTGTATACTCGCCGTGCGTACGCGAGTCGAGGTTTTGTACCCGCCGGTTCTGTTCCGCCCTGACTGGTCGTAGGAGGCGGCTTGCAACGCTACCACGTGACTCCACGTGGTTCTAAAAACATGTGTATTCTTCGCAGATTAGCTCTCCACTTACATGATGCAGTACAGCACGCGTGACGCTACAATACAATTCACTGTTACTCCCTCTGTTAGAAAAATATAACACTTCTTCAGTTTCTTTTTAAAATCAAACAGAAGCCTTTCTCGCAATTCTTAGAGATATATCATTCTGATAATGCAATAGTTGTAGCACCACTCTTCTAATTAGCAACTAATCGCGTTAATTTTTCAAAAGTGTATTGCAGCGATAGTATTTTCCGCAGCATAGCTTCAACTAAGATTCACTCCCCCTACTTCGTAGTATAGTTTTTACTTTCTCGTCTTTACGAAGGCACGTCGTAACAAGAGAAAGTTTTGTAAGCGTGTACCGGAAAATGGCGCTCTTTTGGCCTCTTGTCAGGTGCCGGTGACGAAAAAGTGGTTATCTCCCGTGGCTAAATATATCAAAAAATCCTCTACCGCGTGGTGTAGTCAGAATTCATGTTTTGTGGGCCCTTGATATCGTCAAATCGCTACACCGTACTGATACCGTAACAACGCTAGCGCCTAAACCGTTCAGCCGATTTTCTTCAAAATTGATTTTCCCCAGTCCATCTGAATGACCTCTAGACTTTAAGAGTTTCAAATGGATATGTTGATTTTTGAGGGTACTACACATGAAGCCTCAAAAACATTTTCAAAACTTTCTCAAAAATATCACCAAATTTGTTGATCAAACTTTATCTTCGGATAGCGTACTGGACGATTAAGAAAACAATGCAGGTTTCATATTTGTTAAAAGCCGAGATATTTTGAAGATTGCAAAAAAGTACAATTTTTTGGGGCGTCGTCATACAACTATAATATTGAAAATTGAGATATTTTCTTAATAAAATATGTTCTTTTAAGAAGGATCTTTAAATAAGTTCAAGTTCAATTTTTCGAAAATACGAGTAGTTTTCGTGTAATTTGGGGCTAACTATGTGCAGTTAAAAAGTTTTTTTTTTCTCAAAAACAGTTTTAATTTTTTCAAAATAAATTTCCACTGATAGATGAAGGAATGCTTAAATGAACGGTGCGGGTATCATTTTCTTTGAATTCTCTGAATTCTTGAAAATTTTCAAATGTAGAAATAAAGCAAAAAAGTATGTGCTGTGGGAGCAGAAATGTATTCTACTGAACGATCTAAACTGTATATGGGAACTAGGAGTCAGAGACAAGATGGAATTAAATCCGAAAAGAGTAAATTAATTTGCTTAACCAAGTTTCGCTTGAATGAACACTCTTACGAGTTAGGAACTAATGTTATTCCACGTATAGAAAGCTGTATTTGGGTTTGGTCCTGTGTTGCGACTGTGTTGGTCAGATCACGTTAAAAATAGGCCAAAAATCCTGATGGGCGATGCAATTTGTTATGCGTATTCTAACTAGTGTTGCATCGGAGAGACATACACTTTCTCGTACTAATTACTTTCCTATTCTCTTTAGTAATATGTAGCTTTCAGTTTTTGCCCTATCCTCTTCCCATCTATCAACTGTTGCCAGTTAAAAGGACTTCTTTACATTTTCTCAATGTTTCGGTTCACTCTTCACATAACTGAAATATGGCTTAAAGAATAATATAAAAGACTAAAACCTGGTCATTTCTATAAATTTTCGTTGAGAAATTTGGAGCCGTTTTTGAAATATCTCGTTTTAGAGTATGTAAAAATTCGCAATTTTAAGCTCATTTTCACAGACCACATGAGTTTTCAAGAAACTTAATTCGAAATCAATTGATGCACTTCTACTCACAAATACAATCATGTATAAAATTCATAATCAATGTGAATATTGAGGACGTGAGAGATGTCGCATGCGCTGATGACTGAATTGAAGGCCCTCATCCTCGTACCGTGATGGTGTGTCTTACTCTGCGTCAGGCCGTCAAACGTCACCTTTGTCCCCGTCAGAATGCACGTCTCACCAAGTTGCTAGCCGTGACGAGTGCTTTCCGGACGTTCTGGCTTTCGTCCACAGAACGGAATAAATGCCCTTGACGTGATTATTTCGCTTGATAGCGGTTCCAAATAATCCACCGGTTCCAAAGAGAGATGGCATCCGGTGGAGCGAAAACTTTGTAGCCTTCAAGTTGCGATTTTAAATCGCAGATCTCGTAGTTTTTTGTAAAGAAGTGCACCTTTGCTCGATGAAAGTCAGCCCTTCTCGATGGATTTCAGACAGCGTCTGCCTCTCTCGCCTCTGCCCTGTGGTACCCTCCGTGTACGTGCCCTCTGATCTCGTGCACGTCGCCATATGCCGCT